AACCATGATCACTGGCTGAAAACTCCTGAACTGGGCAACCATATGATTAAGAGCTGGCAAGGCCCTTCCAGGTCATTTAGTCCAATCCCCATCTATTTCCAAAGGGGGAAACTGAGGCCCAGAGAGGGGAAGGGACTTCAGTTTAGAGAATGTCGAAACTGGAAGGGACCTCAGAGATTTGTCGTTGTCCAGTTGTGTCTGACTCTTTGAGATCCCATTGGGGGTTTTCTTGGCAAAGACACTGGAGTGGTTTACCATTTCCTTTTCCAGCTCATTTTACAGATGAGGAAACTGAGGCAAACAGGGTGAAGTGACTTGCCCAGGGTCACACAGCTAGTAAGTGTCTGGGGCCAGATCTGAACTCAGGTCTTCTTGACTCCAGGCCCTTGCTCTATTCACTATACTACCCAGCTGCTCTTACCTCAGAGACTATCTAGTCTAATCTCATATTACAGAGAAGGAAATGGAAGCCCAAGGAGATTGTGACTTATTCAAGGTAACATATAGGATCCTAGATCTAGAGCTGCAGGGACCCCAGAGGCCATCTAGTTCCACCCCTTCACTTTACAGAGGAAGAAACTGAGGCCCAAGGAGAAATGACTTGCTAAAGGTCTCACAGCTGGAGAGGAGCAAAGCCAGAAGGCCAGCATTCTGGTGGCCACATCACACATTCCTCTTTATTTATTTGTTTGTTTGTTTGTTTGTTTTTACGCTCCTCAATAACTTTGAAGAGCATTCCTTTTTCTGTGCCCAGACCCTCAAATCATTGATTTATAAGGGGGAAATTATTTCAGAAGGCTTAATCTAGTCTTCATGCCTGATTTTATGGAGGAAGAAACAGACCCAGAAATTTTCCCTGGGACACATAAGTAGCAAGTGACAGGGCTAGGATTTGAACCCAGGTCCTCTGGTTCCCCATCCTATGCTCTTTCCACTGCCTGGAAAGAAGTGAGAAGCATGAGCCCCTCAAATCTCTCCCCACCCCCACCCCCACCCCTGCCCCAGGATTCTGTCATTGGCTCTGCTTGGAGTACTCTGCAGAGGGAGGGCCTGCTCACCCTCTCGGACAGCTCAGTCTGTCCTCCATGAATTTATCGAGACCTCTTAGGAAACTGGCTTCTGGATTTTAGCCTGGATTGTCTGTTGGAGGTAAGGAGTTCCATAGATGGTATAATTGCCCATTCAGTAAAGTAGGCCGGTTTGGGTTTTAATTGGCCCTAAACTTGGGCTCCCCTCTCCAGGCACCTTCTGATTTTTTTTCAGACTGTTAATCCTATCCCCTCTTGTCTTCATCTTTGCAAGCCTAAGAGGCTTCTCTTTTTGGTTCGGAACACTGCCCCTCCTCCCCTCCAGCCTTCTAATTGGCCTGCTCTGAGAACCAGGGCACACCAGACCTAGGCGATGCCTCATGGTGGTAAAGGTGGGTCAGGGGAGGGGGAAGGGACTGCAAAAAACCCAAACCCCAAAACAAAACCCAACCAATCCCAAGACATCCAGGGATCAGGAAGTCTGCTTTCCTAGCTCTGCCCACTCACCAGCCAGGTGTCAAAAGTGTCCCCCTCCCTCCACTTTGGTGTGTGTGTGTGTGGTGGGGGAGAGGGTAGGTCACTGTAACATGCTAGTTCTGTTTGTCTCAGTGGGGATGGGTTTGCACTGTACCTTCCTCCTGTTTTTATCTAGGTGGGGGCGGGGAGAGATGAGGAGCCCCAGTGAGAGAGATGGTAGGGGGAAGGAGTGTCTAAGAAATCTATTCTTGCTCCCAGCTCAGGAGATTCAGCTGGAACCCCTCCAGGACTCAGTTTCCCCATTTGTAAAATAAGGGTGTTAGTCTAACTGTTCTCTTAATGATCCTTTCTAGCTTTAGACAGACCTTGTTCCTTGTTCCAGCAGGCAACTCAGTCAGCTGGGGTGAGAGGCCCAGGGCTCAAACCGCAGCAGCCAGCCGGGGTGAGAGGCCCAGGGCTGGGCCCCTGCCTGCTCAGGGGTGGATGCTAATTGCTGGAGCAGCCGAGCAAACACAAGGCCTTCATGGGGGGAATGCCAGACATAGCTGCAAACAAGCCACTCCTTCAGCTCCCAGCAGGTCAGGGCGGCCTGGAAGCTGCAGCCTGAACCCAGGAGAAGCCTCCCCTAGCCCCAGGGAAGGAGGCCAGGAAGCCCTCCAGATTGAACTCCACTTGAGTCACAGGACACTTGGGCCCTGGGGCACTTGGCGATTTCTGGACTGAGTTCACATGTATTCTGAGACAGGGCTGTGGGGTTGGGTCAGTGTTCTTCAACCTACCCAGCCTGCTTCCTGAGGGCAGGGCCTGTGTCTCCCCCCAACAGATTGGGGGGGCCCTCTAAAGACAAGATTTTTGTATCTTCCATCATATTGGCGGAGCGGCCTTCCTGAGTTCAGAGCTCTGTCCCCTCCAAATATTGTGAGGCTTCCTGAGGGCAGGTACAGTGTTTCTCCTACATACACTGGGGAAATCCTGCAGGCAGAGCCTGGCTTCACTATCAGATCAGTGATTCCTCAGTCCAGACAGGGGTGGGGAACCTGAGGCCTCAAGGCCACGTGAGGCCCTCTAGGTCCTCAAGTGTGGCCCTTTGACTGAATCCAAACTTCACAGAATAAATCCTCTTAACAAAAGGATTCACCTTCCCTGGACTCTAGGAGCACCCTGTCGGAAGGACCTGGGCCTCCTGGATGAACTCTGTTGGAGGTGCCTTCTAACTTTACATCTAGCTTCCTGTGATCCTCTCACACCAAACCTAGGGAGGGCTTCCCTAGGGCAAGGATTCCTTGTCTCTCCTCTCAGCCTGGGTACCCAGGTTCCCTTGCTACCCTATTTCCTCACCCAGCACTTGGTCCAGGGGCAGCCCCCAGTAGACCCTCCCGAGATGTTGATGCCTGAAACCAGGATGCCTGGGGTCAGGGGTAAGAGAAATGAGAGTTAGGAGGAGTGCCTCCCACTGGCTGGCTTCAAGTCAGTCCCTACTCTCCCCCCCCCTCGCCCCCCCCCATCATCTGAGGCTCTTACAGCCTGGAATCAAGGAGTCCAAGGTTAACTGTTCCTCCCCACTTTAAGAGCTAATTAGAATGATTAGCCACAGTGAACTGTCAAACATTAACCAGGAGAAGCTTCAGGATGAGACAGGCCTCTGTCTTGAGCAGAGGGATGAAGGACAGAAATCCAATGACCAGACCTAGGGGGAGGATAGGAAGGGGGGAGTATTGTTGAGTAGGGAATGTCGGGGGAACTGGAGGTGGCCGCCAGGTGGGGGAAGTATGCCTGCTGGGAGGACAAGGTAAGAGGGGAGGCTGGCCAAGGGACAAGAAGTGGGGAAAGGAAGGCTCTCCCATCCTGAGTGCCATGGGGCTGTGGGCCCAGAAAGCTTAGGACTAGAGATCCAAGTTCTGGGGAGGGCTACTCCTTGGGGTGGTGGGAGGAGAAGGAAGAGAGGTTTCTTAGTGCTAATGGTTCAAAATCCAGCTCAGACATGGACCATATCCCTTCACTAAGCCTCAGTTTCTGTCCCTGTAAAATGGGGGAGATGAATTGATGATCTTTAAGGTCCCTTCTTAAGAATACCATGTGCTATGGTCCCTTGGAAGGGCTGTTGTATAAATAAAGTACTGGAGAAATGAGAGTTATACAGTCATTGAGAATCTATCTACCTCTCTAACTTATCTTAGCAAAAGTTCCCCTCCCCTCCCCCACAAGTTCAGGCCCATTGGCCCAACCCCCCAACTCAGGCCAGCTCCCCACCCAGTTCAGGGCTGCTCCCCCCCAAGTTCAAACCCACTATCCCCAACTCAGACCTGCTCCCCCCTAGCTCAGGCCCATTCCCCCTTCAGTTCAGGCCTGTTCCCTCATTTTAGATTTGCCCCCCCAAATTCAACCCTGTTCCCCTGCCAACTCAAGCTCCCCCGAGCTTAGGTCCACCCTACATTTCTGGCCTGCTCCCCTCCAGCTCAGGCCTGCTCTCCCCAGCTTGGGCTCACCCTGTATTTCAGGCCTGCCTTCCCCCACCCCAACTCGGGCCTGTTCCCCCTCCAGTCAGTTAGACATTCAGTGCAACTCAGCAGACTTAGATTTTGTGAGCACTAAGTCCGCTGCCCTGGCACTTTGGCGGGTGGGGAGATGCCCACTGTCCCTGGTTCAGCTCCAGGGGAAGAGCTTTCCTTGAAGGAGGGGAGAGGCCAGAGCAGATGAGGCAGTGTGATACCTTGAAAAGCGCATTGAGCTCCTGCCCAAATCTCGATTCTCGGCTTACTCACTAGATGCCTAGTGGGACCTTGAGAAAGTCACTTACAGAGACCTGTGCCTCAGTTTCCCTGCCTGTAAAACGAGGGGGTTGGATTAGATGACCCCTGAGCTCCCTTCGAGCTCTCTAGGAGAGTCCCTGAGCTCCAGGCCCAGGGGGCGATGGAGTTTAAGCACCCTACTCTCCCCCAAACGCAGGTGGGATGGACAGACTTGTAGCCCGAAAACTCAGCTCTCGTGGCGGTGGCGGCGGCGGCGGCGGCGGCGGCGGCGGGAGGGGGAGCGGCAGGGCAGGGCAGGGCAGGGACGGGACGGGACGGGACAGGACAGGCAGGGTGTCCACAGGCACCCGATGCCCACCTCCGGAACTGTGCCCACTTTCCACTCCCCGGCAGGCCGGATGCTCTCTCCGTAGGACCGATTCTCCTTCCCTCTCCCCCCAGCCCAGCCTCTCTCCCCGCTCCCCCTTCCCCTCCCCTCCCCTCTTCTCCCCTCCTTGGGCGGCCCGGGACGTACCTCTGGCAGCTGGGGCTCCCGCTGCAGGACCATGGTCCGGTCCGGGATGGGCAGCACAGTAGGAGAGTCAGCTGTGGGGGCTGCAGGGTAAAAAGCTGGGCTCGCCCCCTCCCCCCACCCTCAGGAGGCTCTGTCGAGAAAGGAGAACAGCAAGGAAAACTGGGGACAGCCCAAAAGGAGAACTACAACTCACTGGTGTGCAGCCTCAGCCTCCTCCCCCTCTGACTCACCTCCTGGCCCCGGCGGGCGGGCGGGTCGGGGTGAGGCTCAGCCTCCGGCTCTGCCTCTCCCACCGGCCCAGCTGCCACTGGCTACTTCGAGGGCAGTATGCAAATATCAGGTGAGCCGGGGGCGCCCCGCCTGGGAAAACACTGGGTGGGGGGAGGGGAGACACTCAGAGACACGGAGAGACAGAGACGAAGAAAAAGGCAGAGGCACAGAGATGTATAGGAGAGGGAGACAGAGATAGGAGAGGGAGACAGAGATAGGAGAGGGAGGCAGTGACAGGAGAGGGAGGCAGTGACAGAGATAGGAGGAGACAGAGACACACACCACACAGAGATAGACAGGAGAGGGAGACCGTGAGGGAGGCAGAAACATCTAAAGATAGAGGGAAGCAGAGACACACAGACAGAGAGGGAGACAGACACACAGACAGAGAGAAGGCAGGAACAGAGAGGTAAAGAAAAACCCAGAGACAGACTGAAGAGGAAGGGAGACTGATGGAGGCAGCTACTGAGAGACACAGACAGAAGAGGCAGAGAGAGGAAGAGGAAGACCCAGAGAGACAGAAAGTGGAGAGAGAGGCAGAGAGACAGAGCAGTCAGAAACAGAGGCAAAGAGAGGCAGAGATAGAATGAGACAAAATGAAGCAGAGAGAGACTGAGAAGGATGACAGAGCCAGAGGAGAAAGACAGTCACCAGGGGCCATGGAAGGCAGGAGTCAGCACTGGCTTCACTGTAGAAACCAGTGAAGAGAACAGAGAGAGAAATGAGAGGGAAAAAAAGGGGAAATCACAGTAGAAAGACCCAGAGAGCTGAGGGCAGAGGAGGAGGAAGAGGCTGTCTCCTTTGAAGCATCTACCCCCAGCAGCAGCACCCAGAAGGCACTGGGCTTCCAGCACCGATTCAGAGCAGGAAGGGATCCCAGAGTTCATCTAGCCCTTGACTGGGGCAATCTGGTCCTTTCTGCCTAGACTTAGAGGAAGTGACTGTTTCTATTTCTAGTTCTCCATCTTAGATGGGGTTGGTCCCTGGGACTCCCAGGCCTTCAGTCTAAGTTACTGGGCAAGTTAGGCCCTGGGGTGACAGCCTGTGTCATGGGGACATGAAGTTGGGACACCTGGCTTCTGCCTTTTGCTAGGTGGGTGACTATGGACAAGTTTTTCGCCTCCCTGGGCCTCAATTTACCCTTCTATAAAACAAGGAGGTCTTCCAAGGTCCCTCTCAGCTTTGACAGAACACATACTCCTGGCCACTAGGCTGAGTGCCCAGACTGTTGCCCCAGGGCTCAGGCCTCACTGTGAAGGGAGTTCCCCTTCCCCTATCTCAGAAAGTAGAAACTAACAGGTCCCTGCCCCCAACCCAGAACAGAGGCCTGTGGGACAGGAGCCCGAGGCTTACTTGCCCCATGGACCCAGCTCTGGACTCAGGAAAAAAAAAAACCTCAACAAGCAGACTTTCCAAATCAGCCCCCATCTTCCCCTGCTGCAAAAGCCCCTTGCAGCCTCTGGGGACCTAGCTCAACGACATGACCTCATCTAAAATCAGACTCCATGGGCCCTCTGATCCTCAGAGGCAACTCGTGGTCTTCCAGCACCGATTATGTCTATGCCTGGCCCCATGCTAGTCACAGGGCAAGGGGAAGCCCTAGCTGTCCTATTCCCCTCTCCCCGCCTCCCCTTAAGACTGACTCTAGCTCTCTGGTTCCAACCTACCTTTTCAGTTCAATTTTGCTTGACTCCCTTTCACTGCACACTGTGTTCCAGTCAAATCGGTCTACTGGTTCCCCAACTCAACATTCCATCACCCACCTCCACGCACAGGCTGTCCCCGTGCCGGCAACCAGGTCTTTCCTCCTGCCAGGTGAAAGCCTTCTCTGCCTCTGAGGCTCAGCTCCCAAGGCTACCTCCCCCAGGAAACCTTCTTTACATTTCTGCCTGGGGGAAAGTGATCTCTCTTCAACTTTCTCCTCGATTTTTGTCTGGCTCATGTCTTTGCTCCTCTTATGGTATCTCACATTCTCAAATGAGATTTTATATATAGATATAGATATAGATGTAGATATAGATATATAGACATATGTATGTATGTATGTATGTATGTATTTGTATGTATGTATATTGGCTATTAATATTCTAGGCAGTATCCTGCCCAATTTGTGTGTTATGTCCTAGCCCTCCTACTAAACTTTAAAGGTCCTTAGTGGTTAAAGTCTGGGTCATTTTCATTTTTGCATCTCTAGCATGCTTAAATTAAATACAAAAAACTCCGTGTTGCCCACACAGCCCTCTGTTTCCCATCTCCAGGCCTTTGCACTGGGCTGTGTCCCCTATAACTTGAATGCATTTATTCCTTTCTTCACCCTGGTTTCCTTCCAGACTCAGTTTAAGTAACAACTTTTACATGAAGCCTTTGCTGACTTCCCCCTCACCCCCGCAACTGCTAATACCTTCCTTCCTAACTACCTTGTATTCATTCATTTTGTATACATTTTATATATTGGCCATTGCCAGTCATCCTGACTTTTGTCTTGCCACTGGACTTTGATGACTCTGGAAGAGAGAGTGAGGCTGGGGGCAGCTAGCTGGTGCAGTGGATAGAGCACTGGCCCTGGATTCAGGAGGAACTGAGCTCAAATCCGGCCTCAGACACATAACACTTACTAGCAGTATGACCCTGGGCAAGTCACTTAACTCCATTGCCTGGAAAGAAAAAAAGAAAAAAAGAGAGAGTGAGGCTGACAACTTTGTGCAACTCTGATTCAGTTAAATCCAATTCATGAGAAAGTCAAGACATCACCCCATGATGTCATTTGTCCTCTTTGAAAATGAAGGACAAATGACATACATTCTGTATCTACTTATATGTGCTTGTATGGTCTTCCCCATTAGAATGTAAGCTCTACAAGGGCAAGAACTGTTTCATTGCTTTTCTTGGTATCCCTAATGCCTAGCACTGTAGGTGCTTGGAAGGTGGTGAGTGCTTCTTGATAAATGATTGTTGATTGATTCTTTGGCTTGGTTCCTAGTGGCTTCTGGGCACTAATGCTGGACCTGAGGAAGTTATGAAGTTTACATAATGCCTGATCTTACCCTCAGGAAGCTCACAGTCTATTGGGAGAGGGGACACAAACACAGATCATTTACTGTAATACACAATAATACAGACAAATTGGATAGAGAAGGGGTTAAAGAAAATGATTTGTTAGGTCTGAGGGGGCTGGCCATCTGGTAAATGCTTGTTGAATCAAATTAGCTTTGGGCCCCCAGCTGCTTTTTCTCCGCCTTCCAACATGTACCATTGTTCAGAGAGGCATTGCCTTTGTGCTCTTTCCCTTTCTTCTCTGTATCAAAGTCTGATCTCAAGAGAGGATCTGAAACTCATTAAGATTGACACATAAGTGCCTGACAAAGACTTTACCCCTTACCTTTCTCAAGGCAAGGGAGAGTTTGTATTTTAATATAGACCAAAGGAATGAGTATCTAATGGTGAAATTTCAGGCCTAGGTAAGTTAGACAGGAAAGGTTTTTATTTTGGTGGGAAAGCATCACTCAGTGAATTCCCACCAAAGACGCTCCTAAGACAAGCTTCATTTTGGAAAAGTATTAGATAGCTGCCCCCACCAACTGGGTAACAATGAGAAAGAAGCTCTATTTCCTTGCCAAGTGACTTGCTCAAGGTCACACAGCTGGTAATTGGTAGAGTTAGGCGTTGAACCCAAACACTGATCCAGCACTAGTGTAGTGGAGAGAGTGTAGTCAAGAAGAAAGAGCCAGGCTCAAATCTCCTTCCTAGCGACATGACTATAAGCAAGTTACTTTACCTCAAGGCTCACAGAGTTGTCCTGAGACTCAAATGAAATGATATATGTCAAGTAATGTCAATTTAGTATTAAACCATACCACCTTCTGCACAGGTGTGAATTGGAAAGAGTGTGTTTGGGATTGGGGGGGGGAGAGAGGGGTGCAAATCTGTGATCCCCTCACTAGTCTGTGTCTAAGAATCTGTGTGTGGCTTTCTTCCTTTCTGTAGGGAGGTGAAAGACAACAGGTACCAAACGGTGTATATACTACTGTGAAATGGGTCCGGTTATTTGGTTGAATTGTTTTTCATTTGTTACAGAGGGATGTTTCATTTGATGATGGGGAGGGGGGGGAGGTATAACCGGAAATGACTACGAAGCAAAGTAAATAAATGAAACATTTAACAAAAAAGAATCCATGTGCGGATGGAGAGAGCCTGCTTGTTTGTATATATATCCTTTCCTGCTAAATTCTGCCTTTATCTTCCTGGTTTAGTGAAATGCAGGGAAGCTGAGAATGAAGGGGAAGTGGGGTGGGAGGGAGGGAGGCTGGGCTAAGGGAGTGACAGGGGAAGGGGAGGGAAGGGGAAAGGGAAGTTAAAGCAAGAGAAGAGAGTGTGAGCCAGGGATGAAACTGAAACTGACAAAGCAACCAGTACAGGACAGAAACCTGGCAACCTCTCAAGTCTGCATTGCTCCCATGGCCAACCCACCCCAATAACTCGCCAATCTGAAATCCCCACCTTCGACCTGGCTACTTTGGGCTGAGGCATGGCACCTCCACAAGATTGGGTTCGGAGGTGTTAATACATTATAAAGCATTAACTCCTGAATAGCTACTCTGACAACCCAGGTCCATTTATTTCATTAGTTGCCCCTCACATCAGCTGGGTAGAGCATCACACCAGGATTGGCAGTAGGGGATGTGGCCTCAACTGCTCCAAATGTACTAGTTGTGCAAATGTAGGGAGGTCCTCTCTATGGCTCACTTTCCTCATCTGTGAAATGTGCATGGCACTGCCTACTCTCCAGGGTCATTCATGAGGAAAGTGCTCAGTAAACCTTTATAAGCTGTATAAATGGGTGTATCATCATCATCATCATCATCATCATCAGAAACCCTGGCACAGTAGATAGAACACTGGCCCTAGAGTCAGGAAGACTCATCTTCATGAGTTTAAGTACAGCCTCAGACACTTACTAGCTGTGTGACTCTGGGCAAGTCACTTTACTCTGCCTCAATTTCCTCATCTGTAAAATGAGCTGGAAAAGGAAATGGCAAACCACTTCAGTATCTTTGCCAAGAAAACCCCAAATGGGGTCACAGAGAGTCTGACATGACTGAAAAATGACTTAATTTAAAAAGGAGCCCCACCTCCCATGGGGAAACTCTTTCTACCAAAGCAAGTCAACATCTCAGCAACTTAAAGGCTTTAGAGCAAGGGTCCTTAACCTGGATATTATGATAATTATAGTTTGAACCAGTTAAAACCAGTTCAGACCAGTTTAAACAGGTTCAAACAGGCTAAAACGAATAATTCCAACAGGTTCAAGTTGGTCTAAACTGGTTTGAATGGGATCAAATGAGCAAATATATGTTAAGTGCTTTGTTGTTATTCAGTCCTGTCCAACTCTTCATGACCCCTATAGAAATGTGAACTATCATTGTTGCTATTATCAGTCAGATCCCAAATCTGATGTTCTTGGGCTAACAGACCAGTTCAAATCAATTAATAACCAGTTCAAACAGGTTCAGACCAGTTCAAACAGGCTAAAACCAGTTCAGACAAGTTTAAACCAGCTCAAACTGGCACAGACCAGTTTAAACCAGTTCGAACCAGTTCAGACCACTTTAAACCTTACCCTTGTAGCGTTTTCTTGGCCAAGGTAGTGGAATGGTTTGCCATTTCCTTTTCTAGCTCATTTTCCAGAGGAGGAAACTGAGGCAAACAGGGTTAAGTCACACAACTAGCACCACGACTCTTAAAAACTATTTATTACCTAGTTTGGTCACTGATCTCTGTTGGTGGAGATAATAACTACACTGGCAAAATAATGAAATCTAAAGTTTGCAAAGTACTTTACATAATGATGGTAAAGGAAGATGGCATTCAAGTAAAGTATATTATGAATGGCCAACAAAAAATGACCTTGGGAAGCTATAAATAATAGAATGACAGCTGCAATTGGTAGAGTCCATTGACCTGACTACTGGTATCGTCCTCACATTTGCCACAATGTGGAAACAGTTTCTTAATCTGCTCTCCTTTTGACCCTTTGCTATTAGGTAGTAGATGGGGTGTTGGACCTAGAGCCAAGACAATCTGAGTTCCAATCCTGCCTCAGATACTAGGTATAACCCTAGGTAAGTCATTTAACCTCTCTTATCCTCTGCTTCCTCATCTGTAAAATGGGGACAATAATAATACCTACCTCCCTCAGTTGTTGTGAGGATCATTTCAATATAATTTGTTCTCTTTGTGATTTGATGTACTTTATTTTATTCATTTAAAATCATCATTTTGATGTGCATACCCTTTGATCCAGCAATAGCACTTCTAGGACTATATCCTAAAGAGATCAAACAAATGGGAAAAGGATCCACATGTACAAAAATATTCATAGCAGCTCTTTTTGTGGTGGCAAAGAATTGGAAATTGAGAGGATGCCCATCCATTGGGGAATGGCTGAGCAAGCTGTGGTATATGAACGTAATGGAATACTATTGTGCGATAGGAAATGATGAACAGGCTGACTTCAGAAAAACCTGGGAAGACTTATATGGTCTGATGCGGAGTGAAGTGAGCAGAACCAAGAGGACTTTGTATACAATAGCAGCCAGGTTATGCAATGACTAAGAATGTTAAACTGAACCCTTCTCAGCATTATGAGGATCTAAGACATCTCCAGAGGCCTCGGGATGGAAAATGCTGTCCACATCCAAAGAAAGAACTATGAAAGTTGAATCACTATCACTTATTTTTACCTTTAGTTGAGTTTTGTTTCATCTTTCTGATGGTTCCTCCTATTGGTTTTAATTTTTACTTACAACTTCACTAATGTGAAAATATGTTTAGTGGGTATGTAAATGTAAAGCCTATGTCAGATTGTGCGCTGTCTTGGGGAGGGTGGGGGGTGAAGAAAAAGGGAGAAAAAATTTTCAACTCAAAAGCATATGGAAAAAAAAATTTTTTTTAAAGTGCTTTGAGAATGTCAAAAAAAAATAAATAAATAAAATCATCATTTTGAGAAGGGGACCATGGGCTTCAAAAAACTCCAAAAGGAGTTCATGACCTAAAAAAGGGCAAGAACCCCTGTAGCTGGGGCACTAAATGTGCTGGCGTCTCCTGGATTCTGAAAAACCCCTCACTTGCTCCTTCCATCCCTGATAACCATAGTCCTAACCATCTTCTGCCTTTGTAGCCAAAGTCCTCCAAAGACCACTCTGTTCTTAACCCCTCATGATCTGGCTTCTGACCTTATCATTCCGAAACTGCTCTCCAAAGTTACTGATGTTTTCTTAGTTGTGAAATCCAATGGCCTTTGCCCAATCCTCGTTCTCCTTGACCTCTCTGCAGCCTCTGACATTGTCATCACTGTCTCCTCCTTGATTCTCTCTTTTCTCTAGGTTTTCAGGATTATTCTCCTTCTCCTTCCTTCTTCTTCTCCTTCTCGTCCTCCTTCTTCTTCCTCTCCTCCGCCTCCTTCTTCCTCTCCTCCTCCTCCTTCCTCTCCTCCTCCTCCTCTTCCTCTTCTCCTCCTCCTCCTCTTCCTCCTTCTCCTTCCTTCTTCTTCTACTTCTCCTCCTCCTCCTTCTTCCTCTTCTCCTCCTTTTTCCTCTCCTCCTCCTCCTCTTCCTTCTTCCTCTCCTCCTCCTCCTCTTCCTCCTTCTTATTCTCCTTCTTCTTCTTCACTGGATCCTCCTCAAGACCATGCCCTGTAACTATGTGTGTCCTTCACGTTTCTAACCTGGGCTGCCCTCTTCTCTTCTCCTGCTATACTACTTCACTTGGTGATCTCATCAGCTCCCTTGGATTTAATCACCATCTCTATGCTGATGATTCTCAAATTTATTTTTCCTGCCCCAATTTCTCTGCTGACCTCTAATCTTGCATCTCCAAATGCCTTTCAGGCATCTCAAACTGGATGTCCAGCAGACATCTTAAACTCATTATGTCCAAAACTGAATTCATTATCTTTCCCCGTAAGTCCCCCCCAGATTCCCTTTTACTATAGAGGGTGCCCCCATCCTTCCAGTCCCTCAGACTAACAACCTAGGAGTCGCCCAGGACTCCTCACTTTCTCAGCCCTCAAATCCAATCTGTTGCCAACGCCTGTCAATTTCACCTTACATCTCTCCTGTGACCCTGCCCCCACCGTAGTGCAGGCCCTCATCACCTCACTACCTCATCACTACTGCAGTAGCTGCTGGTGGGTCTGCCTGCCCCAAGTGTTTCCCCACTCTAATCCATCCTCCAGTCCAATTATGTCACCTCCCTACTCAATAAATGCCAATGCCTCCCTATCACCTCCAGGAGCAAATACAAAATGCTGTATTTGTCGTTCAAAGTCCTTCATAACCCAGCCCCCTCCTACCTTTCCAGTCTTCTTATACCTTCCTCCCCGCCAAGTACTCTTCGATCCAGTGATACTGGCCTCCTGGCCGTTCCATGAATAAGACACTCAATGTCTAGGCTCTGGGCATTGTCTCTGGCTGTCCCCTGTTCCTGAAACACTGCCCCTCCTCTGCTCTGACTACTGATCTCCCTGGCTTCCTTTAAGTCCCAACTAAAATTTCACCTTCTGCAGGAAACCTTCTCTAACCCCATTGAATTCCAGTGCCTCTTCTCTGTTAATTATTTCCTATTTATCCCATATATAGCTTGTTTTATATACTGTGTATTTGTTTACATGTCATCTCCTCTGTTAGATTTTAAGCTCCATAAGGGCAGGGGCTGTCTTTTGCCTGTTTTTTTAATCCCCAGCTCTTAGCACAGTGCCTGGCGAACAGTAGGAGCTTAATAAAATGCTTACTGATTGACTGATTATCCAGGGTCATATAGCCTGTTGGTGTCAGGGGTGGAACTTGAACCCAGATCTTTTAGGTCACCTCTCTATCCTGCACACCACTGGTATCAAACTTAAAAAGGAACAGATCTCTGCAGGCTGTACATTGACTTAGAAAACCACAAATTAACATTAGCCATGTTTCATTGTACTTCTTATTTATTCCATTAAAGGTTTTTCAATTACATTTTAATCTGTTTGAGGCTGCACTGGGGAATTCTGTGGGCAGCAGTAGGCCTACAGAGTTTGACACCTCTGTTCTCTGCCACACTGTCCCTTTTTTTTTTCAGTGCCGTCCAACCACACAAGCATTAAAGTGCCAGACACTATGCTAGGAAAAACAGCTCCTGTCCTCAAAGAGCTTACATTCTTGTTGGTATTAGCTGTACTAGAATTGAGGATAACAAGAGCTCCTTCCCTTCCTGATGGCAGGGGACTGGCCCCAGTGATCTCTTATGGGTACCCATTGTCGTCTTTGTGACAAGAAATGTAAGCCTCTTGAGGACAGAGACTACTTTGTTTTCTTGTCTTTGTATTCCTAGAGTTTAGCAAAGGCTTGGTCTAGCTGACCTCAGAACTTCTTTGCGCCTTGAAATTCTATGAGTCTGTAATAGGCAAAAGGTCTGGAGCACGAATGGGGAACCTTTGTCCTCAAGGCCACATGTGGCCCTCTAGGTCCTCAAGTGAGGCCCTTTGACTGAATCCAAACTTCATAGAACAAATCTCCTGAATAAAAGTATTTGTTCTATAAAGCTTGGACTCAGTCAAAAGGCTGCACCCAAGGACCTAGAAGACCACATGTGCCTCGAGGCCAGCTGCAGGTTCCCCATGCCTGGACTCTGGAGTGTCCCCGTATGGTAGGGAAAGCTAGCTTCAGGGTAAGGCCACACGCCATAAATCTGAAAGGGACCATAGACATCATTTAGTTTGAGCATCTTATTTTAGAGAGGGGGGAATGGTATTCCAGTGAAGGGACTTCACCGAATCATGAGATCACAGATTTAGAGACAGAAGGGACCTTCTAGGACATCTTGCTCAAGATCCCACAGGTAGCAAGGAGAAGAACCTGGGCTTGAACCTAGGCCCTCTGACTCCAAAACTAATGCTCTTTCCACTCTCCCAGGAAAAGCCTGGCCTAGCCTGAAGGCCTGATAATCGTGAAAGATCAGGTAATTCTCAGGATGCACATTAAGACTTGTTCGATGGATGTTTTTTATTATCTCCTCTCCCAAGAGCTTCTTAAGGAGAAAGGCAGACATAGCTGGTCTAACAGACCAAGGCTCACTGGTGGCAATGAAGGACAGTGGCTGTCCCCCTACAGAGGGAGCTGGGTGATAGGTAGGATTCTTTACTCCTATGTCCGGAGAGGGGAATGGGTCTACTTTATTCCCTTAGGATCATCAATATTTAGCTGGAAGGGACCTCAGGGGCTCATCTAGTTCAACTCCCCTCCTCTTACAGATGGGGAAATTGAGGCCCAGAGAGGTGACATGACCACACAGGCAGAGGTAGGATTTGAACCCACATCCTCTGACCCCAGAGCCAATCCTTTTCTCACTGAACCATGATATCTCCCTACTCCAGGGTGCTTAGATACAGGTTTAATCGATCAATCAGTCAATATTCATTTATACCTATTCAAGGCACTATTTCCAGTTCCCCTCTCCTTCAATTTAATAAAGTCTTGTTAGGTGGCTAACATCTGAGTGGGGGAGCAGAGTAGGGAGTCCTCCTTTGCCATGATCAGACCATATCTGGATTACTGTTCTAGGTTCTGGGCCTTGGACAGCAATGACCAGTGCCAGATTTGGCCTAGCCTGAGCTCCAGCACACTGTTAACTAGTCTTGAACTTAGGGGTCACTGAATCCTAACCTCCTCCTCCCCACTCCCCACCCCCACCCCGCCCTCCTCCATACCTACCAAACCTCAGCTGCCAGGCCACACACTGAGCCCTGGCCTAGCACAACCATCTTCTGAACCTGGCCTCAGGCCTCGAGGTGGAGGAGGGAAGAATTTGGTTGGTTCCTAATAGACCCTCCCTTTTGGGCTGCTCTGGTGCATCTGAGCAGGTACAGCGAGCAGGGAAGCCATACTAATGGGAGGGTATCACAATGTGGAGGATTCAAAGGGGTTCTTCTGAATCTGGCTTTGGGCCCACCTTCTCTATCCTGGAAGCAGATCTACCTTGCCTCATTGGCTTGGAGCAGAGAATGCAGCCTGGGGAAGGGGGAGTTGGGCCCAGGTCCAGGACCAGAGTGAGGGAGCTTGAGAACCTGAAGGTGGCAGTAAGTATGAGTCTGGAGAGGGTCCCAGGATGGCAATACCAGAAGGTCTGAGCTGGGAGAACCTTTAAAGAGCATCTAATCCAGAGGTGGGTAACCCGCAGCCTTGAGGCCACACATTGCCTTCTAGGTCCTGGGGTACAGCCTTTTGACTGAGTCTAAGTTTCACAGGACAAATCCTTTTATTAAGGGGATTTGTTCTGTGAAGTTTGGATTCAGTCAGAGGGCCAAGCTTGAGGACCTAGAGGGCCACATGTGGTTCTCAAGGGCGCAGGTTCCCCACCCCTGATAAGCCAACCCTCTCATTTCATAGAGGAGGCAAGGCCCAGAGAGGGAAAGGGACTGGCCCAAGGTCACACAGCCATCGAAGGGCACAGCCAGGATAAGAACCAGGGTTCCTAAAGTCACAACCCGGAGCGGGGAGG